GTGAGTGTCCGGGGGTCCGGCCCCCCGCCCGCGGATCCTGCTCCCCCTCCCTGGCATTCCCGTCCCCGCATCCCGCTCCCCCGGGGACACTACCCCGGGCACCCCCATCTGCTGGGACCCGTCCCTTGGCACCCACATCTGCTCCCCACCTTCTTCCCTTATCCCTCCGGACCTGCAGCTTTGCATTCCTCGTCCCCAGGACCTGCATTTCTTCCAGCATCAAGTCCCTTCCCAGCCCCTCTATCCCCAGGGCCCCCGTTCCCCCAGGACTCACATCCCCTGTAACCCCCTAGACCCTCCTCCAGCAGGACTCATATTCTGTCCCTTGGCACCCACATCTGCTCCCCACCTTCTTCCCTTATCCCTCCGGACCTGCAGCTTTGCATTCCTCGTCCCCAGGACCTGCATTTCTTCCAGCATCAAGTCCCTTCCCAGCCCCTCTATCCCCAGGGCCCCCGTTCCCCCAGGACTCACATCCCCTGTAACCCCCTAGACCCTCCTCCAGCAGGACTCATATTCTCCAAATACATCCCGCCCTCCCCAACTTCCCCAGGATGTGCATCACGCAAGACCTCCATTCCAGGATCTGTATCCCCCAGGAATCCTCATTCCCCAGGGATCTGCATCCCCAAGACCTGCATCCACCCAAGACCCACATCCCATGGGGCCCTATAGCCTCTCAGGGACACACATCCCCTTGGACCTGCCTCCCAGTACCCCGCATCCCCCACGGACCTGATCCCCATTCTCCTGGCCTTTGGGCTCATATCCCCCATCTCCCTGTACCCCAAGGCCTTGCATCCCCTGGGAGACAGGTTGGGGATGTCCCCATGGGTGTCCCTTGCAGACAGACTACCTCTAATCCAGCCAGCTGGTTTCACTGGGAGAAAATAAACATGCTATGGGGCACAGGGGATAATCTTGCCGAAGCAGAACTCTATCCCTGCCCAGACACAGCCACACGAGTCTCATTTTCCATATTCCGACTTGTAAAGTCCACTTTGAGTGAGCTCTGCACCACTATGTGAAGCTGCACGGTTGCCCTGGCAGATATGGACTCTGTTCCTAATATTGAGCTGCGCATTAACTGGCCCGACGCCAGCTCTGTTCCCAGTCACAGCGCCAGGTTTCCCGTGAATCCACTTTCACTTTCTTTTTCCATTTTAATTCTAAGCTTCCCATGAGTAAAAAGTGTCCAATACACATTTATCCCTATTGCCTGGTGTAAATGGTGCTAAATACAGAGCAAAAATAAAACTCACTGCTTCCAGCCCATGGAAATGATCAAAGTCCCTGTCCCCCTGCTCCGGCTGGAGCTCCGGTCTCCTTCCTTCGCCCTAGGCACTGGATTCGCTTTATTTCACGGGCTTTGCGGAGAGCAACGAGACCTTCGTGATCGCTCGGCTTGCAAGGCGACCCGGTGGCATCTGCGAAATGTGGCTTTTCCTCAGGGTGGAGGGAGTCGGAGAGTTTGAAGTAGGTGCTGCTCTAGAAGGTGGCTGGGGCTGAGGGCGGGTGCTTTTTTTTTTTCTTAATTAATACCATATCTGAAATGAGAGCATGTTATCCAATGCTATCTCAGCTGTTTTACATGCAATTTTACCTCACTGTTCTGTGATTCTCTGGTAGAGCTGAAAATCCAATTGAATCTAAGGTTACTCCTTCAGCGGAGCCAGAATTCGTCCACTCAGCTGCATTAAACAAATGTTTCCCCCAAATGTCTCCGTAGCACCCGGAGCACCCGAACATGATGGTGAGAGATGAATCTGGAGAGCATTGGCGTGGTGGAGGGCTCGCCATGGAATACCTGGAGCCTCAAAACGTCTGGAAAATAAGCTTTGAGGGATTGCTGAGGTACTGCAGCGCTTCTTAGTTTGGGTTAGGAACGATGCAAAACCTTAAAAAAAATAATAAAGAAACCCCTAAAATCTATCGGTTTAGGAACAATGCAAAATTACGGTCTTTTGCCTTGCAGAAAAGGTCCCTATCGACAGCAGTGGAGCGAAGAGGAAGGCGAACTTGTATCAGTTAAATTCTCTCTTCAGTAAGAGCATTTCCACTTTGCTCTGGGATGTGTAGTAAGTTCCTAGTTAAAGATTTGGTTCATTTTTTTAAAAGAATATATAGGTGAAACCAAATTTATGACATAATCAGGACTTCAGTGGTGGCTATTTAGGAAGTTGTCGCAACTGAGACCTCGCCTTCTGGTGTATTTTGGGGGAAGAAGCTGCTTTTAAAAGATTTTAGGGCTTCTGTAAGAAGATGTTGTGGTCTTGAAATACGGTGGTGCTGCTCTCTGGACCGTTTCCTACGTTTTTTCTATTAGGAGTAGAAATAAAGGCCAAGTAATAGCTAGAAGTACCTTGGGAATGACTCTAGCATATGTGCAGGAGCTGTGCTCATAACGGATTTATTTTTGCCCTTCTTTTGTGAGCTGGGAGAACCTCACCGAAGTCTTCAACTTCAGCACCGACAGTCACCCCAGCACGTTTGTACGGGCCCTGGCCGAGGAACCGTGGAGCATCGAGTTCTTCCAGAGGGTCAAAAAGTGAGAGACAACTTTGCACTCTGCTGGGGGCAATAGCAATTTGTCTACAGACCTCCTCAGGATCTGTCCTGTATTGTTATGGGTGATTTTAGAATAGGAGTTTAATTAAAGCGAGCAAATAAAGGACAAGTATCTCCTGGGCTTGGTCACCACAACACTCTTGGTGACCTCTAAGGAGGCTCCTGCACGTGGTGTTCCTACCACATAGCTGGGATGCCCTCCTTCAAGGCTACAGTTTTGGGCTGTAAAGCCTAGAGAATTAGGGATATTTCATTTTCAGTATCTTTTTATTTTTTAGCAACCTGACCTAGGCTTATTCTGCAATGTTGGTTTATCTTATGGGGAGGAATGAACGTTTGGGCCTTGTTGATTTTGCCTGCATTGATTAACTTTTGCTTTCCCCATCCTTCCAGACAAAGGGAACATTTCCGCCATGAGCAGTGGGGCCACTCCGTTGGAGAAATCGAAATAGAATCTCATAAGAAGACAGAACTTTCCCTCAAAGGCATTCGGAGCCACTCTTACGGTCTATCTTATTCCTTTCTGCTCTTAGAAACAGCTCCATTATTGTTGTTTGGGATGAGAATGCCTGGCATGTTCTCAATTGCGAGAGAATTATATAGCCAAAGTTGATGCCTGGTGCCATTATTTCACCTTGGCCAGCAATGGTGAACTCCCTGTTTGGTGATTTTGTTCCCTTCTTATGCAGGTATCCGGAACTGGTCTGACATTTACCGTTATGTCATGATTTTGGCACGCTTTGAGGTAGGCATTAACATGTCACTCCACAACTTAAGCCTGAAATTGCAGGTATGTCTGGACATGTCAGGCATGCCTGGATGTCCAGGAGCCGGCTCACCCTCCATCATCAGTGCATGGATATGTTAGCAGGAATTTGCAAGAGTGGAACAGAAAAATACCTGAGATTTTGCTATGTGGGTTGAACCAAAAAAAATTTCATTAACTTGAAACCATTTATTTTTGCCTTTTTCGAAAAATTATGTTGGTAGCTTTGCAGAATAGGTTCTTTTTCAGCAGTTTTGAACAGAACTACCTGAAGCCTCTGTGTTTGTCAGTTCCCTTCTCTGACATACGCTTGCTGTGGTCTTCCTGCTGCCCTTGATTGTTGCTTGATGTGTCTGGTTTACGTTCTTGGGCCCTTATTTACAGCCAGATCTTCATGCGTGATGTATTAAGAGGGTTTAAAAGTAAAAATGCTTAGGAGGAGACCTGAGCTGTGCGCAGGATCCATGGGTGAAGCCAGCACACAATGAGCAGCATCACTCTGCACAAGGTGGGCTTAGCCCCTTCTCCATCCCTCTCTTGCAGGATGGGACCGCCACACATTTAACAGTTATTAATATGCCAGCAACTATGACTAAGTAAGTTCAATTGCTTCATTTATGTGAAATTGCTTTCTAGCCGATGTAGCTACTTATTTCTGCTGTCTGTTGGGGTTCTGCTGGAAGTCCAGCCTGTGCTCCACATGGATTTTGGTCCATTCCCTCCTCTCCAGCCTCTCCGTAGGCTACGTCTTTTTCCCGGATGGGAGGAAGGCTGGTATCGAGTGGTCCAACGCCTCGCTGGCCGAGCTGGCCGCTGACGGGGTTATTGAGGATGAATATGCAGTGAGTTTTACTGCAGGTAAGTTGAAACTCAGCTTAACTTCAGCCGTGTGCATCTGTCATCAGGGAGGTTATTTGCACAAATAAATACAAGGGCACGAATTGTTCCCTGCAGGATCTGCCCATGGGCACCTGCCTTAGAGTTTGCATTTGTGGTGACTTTTGTTTATGCTAATCCAGATAAATGACATGACGCTTTTGGTGGGGTGCAAAATGTACGGTAGGAGTTGGGACTTTGATAACACTGGTTGCTCAAAGAAGTTGCTATTTAATTTACAAATCAGACAGGAAAACCCTTCTTTAGAAGTGCCCCATGTAAATATAATAGACCTTGTGTACTTGGGGGGTTAAATAGTGTTGAAAGTCGCACAGGTTCTTCCCTTTTTTCTGCTACTGAAGGTGGCAAGTTCTTCTCCATCTCTGCCACGCTGGACACACGAGCCTGCCCCGTGGTGTACGATGGGCTCAGGGGGAGCCACGTGTTCCACGAGTGCATTGCTGACTTCCAGCTGGACGGGATAATGCCAGGCTGGGGCCTGATGGAGTTTTATTACAGGTAAAATAATGGCAAAAATAAAGGGCGGGGGTAGATAAGCTCCACCCAAGTATTAGAAATATAAACATGCAGGTTGCTCGCTTTGATTTGATTTAAAGAAATATTATTCGGTGCTGATAGTCTGGAAATCTCTACATCCTTCCCAGGCCCGGGCACCGGGGTGGACGTTCGGGAAAAGCCCTCTCCTCGCGGCACCACGTTTAGCAAGTCCTGCTACTGCTGTGACCTTTCCTGATGGCTTTGCGAATTCAGGCATATAGTCAAGCTTATCGCAGTGGTGTTTGCAGGAAACAGCTTTCCGACTACTTTATTCCCTGCAAAATGAGCAATTTGGAGCCCTGAGCTCCTTGTCACGGGAGGCCGAGAGGATGAACGGATTTGGAAAGAAATCAGATATATTTTTTTTAGATGTGTGGCTCTTAATAGCTGCTAACTGTGCTTGTCTGGAGGCAATTTGAAGGCAGTCTCTGAACAGCTGACTGCAAGAGGAATGCATCCGAAGGAGCTGATCTCAACTCCGTCTTCTTCTGGCACTCCTCCTAAGGTATCAAGTACTCCCTGCAGTGAAAACTGGGAAACTAAATGGATTTCTGACCCACCCTGGCAGTTGTTTGGTTCTTTAAGGTTTGCTTGGGGAATAGAAGCCCCCTCTATAGAGCTCTCCAGCAGTTACAGGCATTAAAAATGAGCATAATCTCTTACAGCTGCATGGGAGGTTGCTCTGGGAGAAGCGACACCTCCGAATGAGGTGTCCTCTCCCACGAAAGCCAGCAAAGCAAGTGGCACTTGCTGCGGATAACCAGGGTCTGCTAATCCGAGGTAGAAGATGATCTGAATGTCTCCTGTTCACTTAAAATCAGTTGCTGTCCTCAGCAGCGTCCCTCTGCTCATGGCTGGTCCAAGGTGGCTTCAGGCAATGCTCCTTTGGCTGAAGGAGAAAGGTCAATGATATAGGAAATGCCTGCAGCTTACACAGTGATGTTATATGCAATAGCAATGCAGCAGTCTGCTCTTGACCTGTGCATGGGGACACAGGCATTTTTGCTCCTTTGTATGGCTGGGTGCTTTGATTTCCTTCACTTCAGTCGTCTGTCACTGAGTAAGATGCTCCCAAGCTGTCACAGCTGCCAGTTATGCCATGCCAGCAAAATAAATGACCATTTTCTACTTCATCATCTTGTGCCTGTTGTTCTTTTTATGACTTGCAATAGCTTTTCCCGCAGGATGGATGCGTGTGAGCGGGTGGAAGGGTGTCACAGGGAAAGCCACAAGCCCAAGGCATTAAATGTCCCTGTGCTGGTTCCGCTGCTGCCTGGAGAGCAGCCTGGGCCCGTCGTGTCCTGGGGAAGGTGTTGGAGCTCAGCCGGACTCCCGTGATCTTTTCTCTGCTAATGGTGGTATTCAGAAATGCATTCCTGGGAGGCTTGCACAAATTTAAAGATGTCTTAAATCTGTCCGTGCACTGGAAGTCCCAATGCACCAGAATGGACAGCTTTAAAGTTATTCAGGACAGTGGTAATTTGACAGATCTGAAGGCCTTATGGTTCTTTTTACACATAAGAAATCAGTCAAGTTGGTAATTTTAGAAAGGTTACAAAAATAACAGTGTCATACATCACAGTTTGTTCCTACTAAATATGTGGCTCATTTTACTATGATTTCAGGAATATCTGTGGTATTTTTATCATCTCTCTAGGACCTTTTTGCTTTTTTCTTGGTGACTAAAATACTACCATTTGGAAGAAGAAAATATAGGGACACAGTCAAGCATATCCGCAAAGACAAAATATGTTAGCAATGGCTCTGGGGGTTTGCACTTGGGTCAGAGAATGTAGAAAATGAGAGGAAAAAATAGTTTATGGCACCAAATAGACCTTTTGGTACTAGTGGAGAGAGAATGAGAGCACTCCCGGGTTTGGTTTGGAAAAGTTCACCTAGGGTACAGAAAATGATTCATTAAAGGTTTGAGCTGGCAGGTCTATTTGCCAGGTAATGAAGCACAGGGAAGGCATTTTGGTTTGAAGGATGGAGAAATCGGCTGTCAGGGCTTTTCTCTGTGGATTCCCAATTAGTTTATAGTGAGTTTGTGTCCAGGAAACCTGGAAGAACTTATTTAATTTAAAATAAATCTAGCAAGCCCCACACTTTGAGCATGCAAAGTGGTGCTTCTCTCATGGCTCCTTCCTCGGTGGAAAAAAAATCTGCCCTGGGAGATGTTTCTGCAGCACAGAAGCATTAATTTTGAGCAAGAGAAAGCAGTAAATGGAGGAAAAGTCCTGGCCAGAAGTGAAATGTAGCGTAGGATGTGCTCTCGTCTGGCACGAAGGGAGGCCGGGGATGAGCTTCTCCCCAGCATATGGATTTTGCACGTCTGGGAGGAGCTGGGCAAAAAATTCCTGCTGCTGTCAATGGGCCAGGGCCTGACACGGCGAAATATTGTGCAAAACGCTCACCCGTCCCCCTGGAGCTCACATAAATGCTAAATGTTGAGAGCCAGGCCCTCATGAAGAGGTCATTGCAAGGCTGTCAGCCCCAAACTGAGCATTTCCCATCAATCTACCCTTGGCTACCGATGTCCAAGACGATAAATACTTTACCAAGCTTATTTCTTCTCCTGCCTTTTTGCAATCTTTCCAATATGCATAGTGTTGATATAAAGGGCTTTCACACTGTCACTATTGCATTGGCAATAAAGCAAGAAAGAAAGAGAGGAAAAAGTCGTTTTTGTCTTCGGATTTATGTCCTGGCTTTACAATGAGTCAAGCAAAGTGACTTGATTAACTAAAGCCCAGGGAGTTCCATAACTTATCCCCCCAAAAATGCACCAAATGGCTGAATTTTCTCAGAAATTGCTTCCAAAGCAGACTTCCCCCCGCCCCCATAAAAACCATCTCGCCGGTCAAACGACTCCAAGGCATTCCCAGCAAAGCAACCAATAACCATGTGCTCCCTGCTCCTCTTTACGGGAAGCCTGGCTTCCTCATGCTCCTCTTGTTTACCATAAAAAGCCACATTTGTCTTTCTCAGTCCAAAATTGCTTTTTCCTAAATTGTGGGGTTTTTTAAATTGTTGCTTCTTCCCTAACTTTCATAGACCACGAGCTTGGGAGTTTGAGCTAGTGCCCGCAAGAGGATCTATTCTGGGGGCTTTTTGAGTTTCCCCCCTCTTGGAGGTTTTCCCTTCCCTAGTTGAGGTTATAATTAGTCACAGCATTGATTTTAGCTTTTTTTTTTTTCGGCAGAAAAGCCTTATTAAAAACAAAGTGCAAGTGAAGTTCATTCTAATCTGGCCATAAAGTTTTACGAGGGATGTAAATCAAAGGCAGGAGTGGCAGCGAGTGCTCCGCACACTCGAGCTCTGTTCAAGCTTCCTCTGTAGAATTAAATCCCTCTAGGAGCAATTAGCCTAACAAGCTGTTGGGTCCACTTATAAATAACGTCACTGATGGAGACGTACAAAAGCAGAGGTGTCTGCTTGGCATACAAGGGACTGTTAAAAATGTTGAGCAGTGATTTTTTTTCTAATCCACAGGAGTGGGGAGGAGGAGATGAAAACCTGATATACCCCAACAGCTTTCCTCAAACATTTATTTTGCCTTCCAGGAATGATACAGATATATCTTCTGGGGCATCCTCCTAAATTGCTTGGTAGCTGTTCCTGGGGCAATATAGGTAAATATTGGTCCCCAAAACAGGAGAGGGACTCCTAGGCAAGGCACACCCATTGATATTGCAGCTGGAAAGACACCTAGGAGGAATAGTTCCTCCAGGATGCAGTAAGGTGCTGGGAGGAGAAAAGGGCCCGGTGTAGCCCAGGGCTCTGCCCAGAGCGGGCAAAGCAAAGTCTTATGTCTGTGGAGTGAATTTTCAGCTCTCTTTTCTCCAGGGGATGCCACAAGCTGGAGCTGGTTGGAGATGTCATTTGTGTGTGACCAAGTGACTTTGCTTTCTGCTTTCCGGAGTGTCTTGGACAGGTCCAGGACCTCATCGTGTGGACTCATTCTACACCATCATTTTCCCTGCCTGCTGGGGAACTGACCTCATTTTTCTCACCTGGTTCTTTGGCTTGAAATTTATTTCTTCTTTGTCTTTTCTCTTTCTAAACGTACATTGTAAAATTTATAGCCCTTGTGGCCTTACAGTTATGGAGGAACCTTCTGCAGCACATAGAGAGCTTGCCCCATAAAACTGTCTTTATAAAAGGCTAATTAAACTTTTCAACTGAAAGTATAAATAACTGCTTGTACCCCCATAACGTCTGGCACTTCAAAATAGGGCTGAAAAGGGCTCTTGGCCAACACTCTGCCAAAGCACAAATTCAATTATTTGTGAAAAAATACACTCATGAGGTGAAAGCAGCATTTGAATGGTGATTTCAAGAGCAGCTTTGGCCCATGGCAGAAGAGTTTCTCCTAGAGTTGGGAAGAAGAAAGATGCATTTCTGAGTGCTATAAAGGAGAGAGCTATCAATTCTTCTGTACATTCTTAATGCTGGAACTGCTCAACTCCTCTCACCCCTTTTCCCTGGAAACTACAGTTTTCCCTTTTTGCTCATTTGATTAACTTGCTTAACTTTTTAAACTTTCCTCTTGGGTGAAAGAGGGGAAATTCCACTGTTTATTGCTTTTGTTGTCATTCTTTATTGTCCTGAATGCACTGGCTAGGCAATCAGTAGATAAGGAATTCAAAAAAATTATTTAGAGGTCCCCAAAGACTAAGAATACTTGGTGATGTTTTGCAGAGTTGGTAAGATGTAGAGTGGGAAAAGCTCTGAAGGTTACACAAAGTTCTGTGCTTCTGGTTGTCTTTACTAAAGCATCCAGATTTCAATATTTCCTTTCCCAGTCTTGTTTCTGCTGTCATTCCAAGGCACATAGACTTGTATCACATGTTTGTAAGCTGATAAAACCATAATGCCAGGAATGTTTTCTTTTCCTCTGTTAGATTAACAAAATGAGTGAGTTTTCAGATATAGCTCGTGTTTACCATCCTCCCTGCACC